TACAAGTAAGAGCAGATCAATTCTCAATTTTGTAGTTCAGTCATGTATACTATCTAAAACGTTCACTCATCGGAACTGGCTTATATCTTTCTGCTCATTCAGGGAAGTCATTGCTGAGCTAAAGGCAGCTGGTGCTAATTGGATTCAGTTTGATGAGCCTACTCTTGTAAAGGATCTTGATTCTCATCAATTGCAAGCATTTTCTCATGCCTACTCAGAATTAGAGTCATCGCTTTCTGGATTAAATGTCCTCATTGAGACATACTTTGCTGATGTTCCTGCTGAAGCTTTCAAAACAGTGACTTCTTTAAAATGTGTTACTGCACTGGGGTTTGATCTAGTTCGTGGATCGAAGAATCTTGATTTGATCAAGAGTGGTTTTCCTTCAGAAAAGTATCTATTTGCCGGAGTAGTTGATGGGAGGAATATTTGGGCTAATGATCTTGCTTCTTCTCTCAGTACCTTGCAAGCTCTTGAGAACCTAGTCGGAAAAGGTAACTGGTTGTAACTGCATTTTATTACGTTGAATAGGAAAATGTGAGTCCGCATAGTTTCTCAAATTATTTATAATTTTTGGACATGTACCAGTAAAGTTAGTCCTCAGTTTGCTCTCTGCTTTATCCAAAAGTAAAGGAATGTATTAAAATTAGTCCTTGCAGCTATATAATTGTTTCAATTAAGTGAAAATAATATAGGTCTGTGCATGATCAGAATTATATGAGCTGACACTATTGGGCATTTCTTTTCTTCAGACAAGCTTGTGGTCTCCACCTCCTGCTCGCTTCTCCACACTGCAGTTGATTTAGTGAATGAAACTAAGTTGGATGAAGAAATTAAGTCATGGCTTGCATTTGCTGCACAAAAATTGGTTGAAGTCAATGCGTTGGCAAAGGCGTTGGCTGGACAAAAAGACGAGGTATCTTGACATATTTTTGTTAATCATCTACACGGAAAATGAATCATAATAGTGGATCAGGCAAATATAAATCCAGAACATGTGATATTTAAATAGTAATGAATCTTTAAATCGTATTACTGGTCATATTCGATTAAGTTTAGCCATGCTGTATTACTGAGCACTTAAATTTTAGTGTTTATGATATTTAATGGATCTGTTGTACATTATAACTGTGTGGACCTCGATACATTTCTTTACTAGCAATTAAGTTTCATATCATTATTCAAAACTTGGTTAATATCGTCCTTTGCTGCTGCTGTTTCTGTCTGCAGGCAGTTTTCTCTGCTAACGCTGCAGCTCGCACATCCCGAAAATCCTCTCCCAGAGTGACCAACGGGGCTGTGCAGAAGGCTGTAAGTATACTCAGGTGTTTTATATCCATCTTATTATAGTTTTAGCTCTTTTGTATTATCAACTTATAATCCGCCTTTCATGTTCAGGCTGCTGCTTTGAAGGGCTCTGATCATCGCAGAGCCACAACTGTCAGTGCAAGGTTGGAAGCTCAACAGAAGAAGCTGAGTCTTCCGGCTCTTCCAACCACTACCATCGGTTCTTTCCCTCAGACATTGGAGCTTAGAAAAGTTCGACGAGAATACAAGGCTAACAAGTTAACTATCTACTTTTGCAATTATTCCGTTAACATGTTGTTGTTTAAGCCTGCATATTAATTAGTTTTTCCCTCCGACTATTGAAGGATCTCGGAGGAAGATTATGTCAAATATATTACGGAGGAAATCAGCAGAGTAGTCAAACTCCAGGAGGATCTAGACATTGATGTTCTTGTGCACGGAGAGCCAGAGGTGAGAAACATCAGTCATGTTTAATTGTCTGTAAAGTTATGCCGAAGAAGCTGAGAACCCTAACATTTCATCATTAAAATGCAGAGAAACGATATGGTCGAGTATTTTGGGGAGCAATTATCTGGTTTTGCTTTTACAGCCAATGGATGGGTTCAATCTTATGGATCTCGCTGTGTTAAGCCACCAATAATCTACGGTGATGTCAGTCGCCCAAAACCAATGACTGTCTTCTGGTCTTCACGGGCACAGAGCATGAGCAAGCGCCCAATGAAGGGAATGCTTACAGGACCTGTTACCATCTTAAACTGGTCTTTTGTTAGAGATGACCAGCTGAGGTTTGAACTTTTAAGCTTCAACACAGTACATATCTTTCTTAATCCCGCACACATCTAATTTCTAACTGATTCTTGTTACTTTTTTAGATTTGAGACTTGCTACCAAATTGCTTTGGCTATTAAGGATGAGGTTGAAGATCTCGAGAAGGCTGGCATTAATGTCATTCAGATCGATGAAGCTGCTTTAAGAGAGGGTTTACCTCTTAGAAAATCCGAGGAAGCTTTCTACTTGAACTGGGCTGTACATTCATTCAGGATTACCAACTGTGGTGTTCAAGACACTACCCAGGTCTGTATTTATTAGATGAATATAATTATGTGTCGAAGCGTATTGTGCTTATCTACTTCTTCAAAATTTCCTCCCTAATGTTTCCCGACATGTCCAATGTCCAACAATATTGCAATGATGGGATCGAAAGATTCATAAGCAACTTCTGATGTGTGGAATTGGAGCTTCGTTCCTAAATCCTAATTGTTGTCCTGTAAAACTAATAGGTAGATAGAATTGAGGGGCATTTTGTGTTATTGGTGGAAGTTATTTTCTTTGCCCCTTGTGCTTTGGTAGTAGTCTGGGTTACATGCGCACTTCACTAGTTCAAACCCTATATGGATTTAAGCAGAGAAGGGTAGAGGGGCAAGTCAGTATGCATCGAGTTTCAAATTGTGCGCCAGCTGGCTCTCAAGGATTTCTTGGTTATACTAAAGGTAGCATTTTCCTTCTTTTACATACTTTTAATGATCTTTGCCATTTGTTGTGACAGATTCACACTCACATGTGTTATTCAAACTTCAATGACATCATCCATTCAATTATCGACATGGATGCTGATGTTATCACCATCGAGAACTCCAGGTCTGACGAGAAGCTTCTTTCTGTGTTCCGAGAGGGAGTGAAGTATGGTGCTGGCATTGGCCCTGGAGTATACGACATCCATTCACCAAGGATTCCATCAACAGAAGAAATAGCTGACAGAATCAGCAAGATGCTTGCAGTCCTTGATACCAACATCCTCTGGGTCAACCCCGACTGTGGCCTCAAGACGCGCAAGTATACTGAAGTTAAGCCTGCACTCAGCAACATGGTAGCAGCTGCTAAGCTCCTCCGCGACCAGTTGGCCAGCACGAAATGAGCTTGACTTACCATAGTCGATCCAACGTGAAGTGCCGTTTGAAATTGCCATGGCTGTTTGTTGCAGAGAAATAATATGTAGGTTTCTGAGTTACTGGCAAATTGTCTGAGGTTTGCTATATTGGCTCCTTTTTCATCATTGCTTCTTGTATTTACCCCAGTAGAAGTAGGAAAAATAAATTTCATAGTGCCATTCCATTTTGATGGTGTCCCACCGTTCGACACACCTCATCTTCATCCTAATCGTCACCTTGTAGCCCGCATCCCCACCACTCCATCTCTCATAGTATTTGTCTAGATTATATATAAATATTTTTTGCTTATGTATCGAATTTTGAACCCAAGATAATAAGAAACTATATCTAGGGGTGTGAGCTAATGATCAATAATTTGGGTCGACAACAATGAGGTCACATGTCCAAATTTCACTTGATACATGTTGGTGGGAGGTGATATGTATTATGTGGAATTAATCGAGGTGGTTCGAACATTACGATTATTAAAAAGAAATTTAAATTTCCTTCCCATCAAACACACCCTGATTGTAAAGTGATTCAATGAATAACTAAACCATAATCTCATCAAACTATATTATTAACCTATATGAATCTTTTACTTCCATTTTTGTTAATTTTTTAAAGTTGAAGTCTATATAGATTTACCGTAGTTCTTTTTTTCCTTTTTTCATTTAATTGTATTTTCTTTAAAATCACGATAGTGATTTTTTAACACAGTGGAAATTACAGTGTGGCAAAGTACGCGCCACGTGGCAAATGACTTGTCATAATCTGATCCATGAAATTATTTATATTTCCTGAGCAATTTCACATAGTTTGATTACTTTAAATGTCATAAAAAAAATATTTTACAACTTTAATATTACAATGAGTATAGTTAATCAGTACAGATAGAAATTAACACATGTTTAAAGTGACTGCCAAATGGTACATTCACAATATCAGCTTGCAACAGTACTTTTTTGTTCCTCCTTTGTAATAGTACTAAAACATGGACCACCAACATATGTTGTTCAACAGACGAGACTGTTTTTTTCTTAACCAGAGATCTCGGGTTCGAGCCCTAATATGAAAAAATCCTTGGAAGAAAACGCTTCCCACCGAATGGGACCCTACACAGCGCGAATCTGGAATAGTTGGGTTCCAATGCGGGTACCCCAAATGGAGCTCTACACGCAGTGGTGTAGCCGTGTAGCTATAGCCACCCCAGGGTGTCCAACTGTTAAAGTTGGACACTGTTGACAAAAGCTATGCCTGGTAATTGGTGTCCATTTCAATGAAGGTGTTCTGGGTTTGAACCCCAATTAGCACAATATTTTTTTTTGTTTTATTTTGACAGCCACACACCATTATTCTTGGATATTCTTAATAAAATTTCTCGGTCCGCCACTGCCTACACGACACGAATCTGGAAGAGTTGGGTTCCAATGCGGGTACCGCACACACTGTTATTCTTGGACACCCTTATTAAAATTTCTGGCTCCACCACTGCCTACACGGCATGAATCTGGAATAGTTGAGTTCCAATGGGATACCCAACACCAGGTGGAAAACCAAAATAAAATAAAATAATACTAGAACATGCAGAAGATTATGGGGTGGGGGGGGGAGGTCAAGATTCTCAATGCTCAATGCATGAACCATGAAGGAAACTTGTGTTTGTGTGGGGGGTGGGTGGGGGTGTGTGTGGCATTTCTATGTGTACATATAGAAAAGGAACTTGAAAGCAAAAAAACTACTACTTAGAAGCAGAGAAAAAAAATGTACAAGTCAAAGCTGCAAGAATTGTGTCATAGCAAGAAATGGGCACTTCCTCAATATTGTTGTATGAGAGATGGATCAGATCACAATCCAAAATTCAAAGCTTCTGTTATTGTCAATGGCATCAATTTTGACTCTCTACCTTTGCGCAAATCATCAAAAGAAGCACATAATGAAGCTGCTAAGTTTGCTTTCCTTCACTTTACTAATGGTATATATATACATATGAAGTATCTCTTAAAGATCATGTTTATAAGTGTTTGTTTTGATTATGTTGATGCTTGTTTACAGGTTTGAGCTATATGTTGTTCAGACTCTTCAAAAATGTTGCCACGTCAGTGTTGGATCCTCCAAAAAAGATCGGACATGCACCTGTTGGCATTTTTGAAGAGTTCGAACAACGTAGTGTTTCACATAGAAGCTCTGGTTTTATACTTTTTCTCTTGAACTTGTGAACTCAAATAGTCAAATATGGTCTGATTTTCTTCCAAGTTTGTTATAGACAAATCACTTTTTGCTCTTTTTTACTTTTCCTTCTTTTTCACATTTGAAGTTTGTTCAACTCTGTCACATTACATAGCAAGTCCAAAGTCCCGGATAAAGGAGAAGGGGTACGCTTTAATTTAACTAAGATGAATATGTTAAATATTGGATTTATTAGGAGAGCGGAATGGATACAGAGATTTCATAAAACCGACTCCTATTAGTTCATGAGTGTGGCATATATAGTAGATTGATTGCTTGATTGACACTTGAAGTTCGGTGTGGAGAATGTGTCGTATGCTCTCATTTTCTCTTATTTTGTAGAAATGATATGCTCTCGTTTCCCCTTCTTGTATTGTTTCAAGAAAAGATGATGCATTCTTTACGTGTGGAACAAATGATTGGCTCATTAGTATTTAGTTTCACGCGTTTCTTGCTTGTCTAGGATTATCGATACATTACTGGTAGGAGAAAGAGCTTTAGAATAGATAGTAAGTTTTGTGTTGTAAGCTTGTCCAATGTTCAAATAGAAAAATAGGTTCTGCCATTGCTGCTCTTGTAAGCTTATCAGCATTGCATATGTAAAATTTATTACTTCTTTTTAAAATTAATTGGCCAGAGAAGGGAAATGGTAGAATAATGTGGTTTGAATTTGTATAGTAAATAACATGTTTTTTCTACGTATTAATAGATGGTTCACTTCCAACTGCAGAAGATTGCAGGCTAACAAAAATTGATGCAAGTCTGCAGGATAAAAGTACTTCTGAGATCAAGCAAGGTGAAAAGTCTAAGATGATCTTTCCGTTACATTTGATTACACTTCGATCTTTTGAGATTTCAGTGTCATTACCATTGCGATTGCTGTTTAGACTTTAGTCATTTATGAATCCTTCATTTCTTTTTCGAAACTTTTTCTTTATGTTCTAAAACCTTGCTTGACTTGTAATTTTCTTTTTTCTTTAAAGTAACATCTTTCTCTACTTATTATTAGGTGGTTCACTTCTAGCTATAGAAGATAGTGGACTAACGAAAACTGAGGAAACATGTCAACATCTGCAGGATCATCTTAATACTTCTGAGATCAAGCAAGGTGAAGAGCCTAAGATAGTTTGGTGTTACATTTGATAAATAATACACTTCATTTTTGTTGTTGTTGAGATTTTGGTTTCATTACCGTTCGCCTTAAATGTCTAAGTTAGGTTGTTTTTGTTACAGAAGAGTCTCATTATCAGTACAAGACGAAGCTGCAGATGTATGCAAAAAGGAAAAACCTTGGCTTACCTGTGTACTGCAGTAAAAGGATGAGTTCAGCTCAAGGTCTTTATTTCGAGGCAACTGTGACAGTGGCTGGTGAATTGTTCAAAAGTCCCGGAGCATACAAGAGTTCAGAGGAAGCAGAAGAATCTGTTGCACAGTTTGCATTAATGAAACTCGTAACCGTTGCCTTAGAAAAGGTATATCCCCTTGGTATCTGAGTTTATGTCCTATATGCACCGTCTATGATAAGCATTACTTCAAAATGTTTACTCTGTCAGTGTATGTAACTTGAATTCTAGCCAAGTCGTCAACCCATCTTGTTTGCTGCAAGTGTGTTCAGTTTTCGTTTTGGCAACTGGCACGGAAGCTTCCTCTTTTGTTCATTTTATTATCTTCGTTGCAGAGTAATACCGGCAGCTACAAGAGTTTCCTGCAAGAACTAGCACAACAAGAAGAAATTTGCTTGCCTAGATATAAAACAACCAGGGCCGGTGAGCCTCACAATCTGACATTCTTCTCAAGTGTAGAAATTGAAGCAGAAATCTTTCATGGGGATGGCGCAAAGTCCAAGAAACAGGCAGAAGAAAATGCTGCCAAGGTTGCTTATACAGCTTTAACAAAATGTAAGTATTCTTCTTCTACCTTCTGTATACGACTATACATGAGCCAATCGGACATTATAGGAAGGGCTAGTTATGGATATATACCATTCGGCCAACTAGATTACCTCCGTTCAGGTTAACAGCTATTTGTCTTGAGATCAACTTATTGCAGTTGGAAGACTATTGAAAATTTTACTGTTCTACAGTATTTCAACATCTTTTCCAATTTCAGGCAAATCCATATATGCTGGTAATCTTTCAACTGTTTCCGCGGAGTTGGAAGGTGAAATTGTCAAAACTGAACCTATCATGGAATCACTGTCCATTTCCATTAGTCAAGAAAAATTCAGAGGTTTGTCTCATAGTTTTCACTATGTACGCGTTCCGACTAATGTGATTGTTTTATTATTAGTACTGGTTCTGATGCAACTAATTATTCATGCCTTTGACAGATGAAGAGGAGATAGTTTACTCTAAACATACATCTCCAAAGTCCATAGGTGCTGATAAAGTTAATGCATCTTCACTTACGCTTGGCGTCCAAGAGCTCAGTGTCAACGAGAAATCCCCTTCTTCAGTGGAATCATTGCACCATTTGCCTAGTAAAACTACACCATCCAAATTTCCTACTGTCTTGAATGCAAATTCTAGTGCGAGGAGGACTGCAGAAACCAAAAGTTACCTCCTTTCCAACAGGTTCAGAGTTTACAAATCCATTCCAGACGGGGTCCTCCCCACGGGTACTATTGTACTTCCTATTGCTGAAGATAAGTGGGCTGTTGTGAGCTTGGAATTCCTCAATGAGAAATGTGGCTAATTATGTACTATTACAGTAGAAGCATGCTAGTTACGTTTATCGTCCTCTTATACATAGAGGCTAAACTAAATCAAGGATGATTATAGCTTCTATCTATTTAAAGTACTTGTATTAAGTGTTTTATTTTCTCAAACATTGAAGAGTTTGTGGAAGTTAAATGGTGCTATTCCGAACTTATCATGGTATTCTTTTTCTCTTTTTCCCGCCCCTTAGATGTTGTCTTTATCCTTTTTGGTTGCTGTTTTCTGCAGGATTTGATGAACGAAGTGTTCATGCCAAGTTATCTATTCTTTCTACAGTCATACTGGTAGATCGTTCCAATGAAAAGAGTTAAATGGTCCAAAACACACTTGAACTATGGCTTTTTTGCGAGTTCAACACCCGAACTATCAGTTGTTCCTTTTTTCTACCTGAACTATCATCATCTATGTAATTAAACACACTTCAACTATCAGTTGTTCCCTTTTCCGACCTAAATTATCACCATCGGAACAACTGATAGTTGAGGTGTGAAACTAGCGAAAAAGTGATTGTTCAGATATGTTTGTTATCATTATCTCAATGAAAAATGACAATCATTAAATCATCTGTTAAGTAGCTGCTCGACCGGGCAAGCAGAGGCGAGTGCAGCCTATATACAAAGGATCCAAATGATGCAGACCTTTAGTGAACACACATGAAAAATGCAGATCATTTCATCTCATCAGCACTTATTGTTTATTCAAATGATGGTTTTATGATTCATAACAAATTGATTCAGTACAGTTTAAAATGAAATTTAATGAGATCTTTCGTTGGCGACATAGAGGCTGATTCCAAGAACCAACAGACCAACAAGAGTCATTTTAATCACTTTACTTGGCTTATTCAGGTTTGCAACCAAACAACTGGCATTTCCGGACGTTTCATCATCTGTATCATCATCTGTATCATCATCAGTCGATTCACTTTCAGATTCACTGGAATGGGAAGAACTACTACTTGAACTACTATCATGTGATGGTAATTTTTTCTCTACGAGACTTTTAGCTTCTGTTTGCTCACTTGTTTTAGGACTAGTTTCCTTTGGTTCTTCTTTAGCAGGGGTATCAATATCAGCATTGTCCTGTTTACCAAATTCGTCTCGTAAAGTAGTCTTCTGTCTTTTAGCTGCAGGAGTATTCTCAACTAATGTGGCTGACAATTCCTTCTCCTTTTCCACTGTTGTTTTCAGTTTTGGTTGTTTAACATGAAGAATTCCGTTTTCAAACTTCGCGCTGATTTTGCTTCTGTCACAGTTTTCCACAACAGGAAATTCCTTCAGAAACCTCTGCCATTTAGTCGGACCAATTGGCCGTTGTCCGCTGATCTTCAGAGTTCCTGTGCTGGTAAGTACAACTCTCAGCTGTTCCTTCTTGAAACCTGTGCATTCTCAATGTTTATTAGTCTGTAACTGTTATGCCATATGGTTTAGGGAATAAGTTATTGTCTCCTTATACGGTTTTGGACAATCTTCATTTAATGAGTTAGGCTCAACGTCCATAATCGTATATGACATTAATACGTTCCACAAGATAAAAGATAAACTCTTAGCTAGATTTAGCCATGAAATTTATAAAAAAACATAACAATAATCGCGTGTGATGTGAATGTACACAAGTGTTTTACATGCAACATTTTGGTTGGAGGTAAATCCAGAATTTAGAGTCAATGAATTATGTGTCAATTTTTTTCTCACAACGCGCACACAATAGCTTCTATCGGATTCATGTCTAGTCTAGATACGCCACCGATGGGATGAGGAGGAAAACAAATAATCAATGACTAAAAGAAAATTACCATGAATATCAATGTGAATTGTGTCAAAATGTTCTCCATGAACCAGCTTTGATGATGGCACAAAATCTTCATATGCTTGAGTTGGTGTAGTAGCTGCCTTTGAATTCATATTGTATCTTTCTTTTCTCTCTTTAGTTAATATGTAATCTTTTCTTGTTGATGAAAATGATTAAAGTTTGAAGGGTATATATATATACTTATAAAAATTCACAAGAAAACTTTCTTGAGATGCTTTTTTTTTTGTGTGTGTTTTCTTTCAAGATACTTATTCCTTAACAAACCTTTTCTTTAAGCTATACAGAGTTTTCTTGTACATGAAAAAGAACTCCAAAATAGGGAACCTGAAAGTTTAGGTACAAAGTTTTGAGGCTCAAAAGTTTAAGAATTTCTAATTGGGGATATGGAAGTCTATAATACAAAAGAAGGGAGAATATACCCTTTTTTCAATAAGATATGAAACTTTACGAGGGTCCTATTATCCCGTGTACTTGGAAGTGAAATTGATAATCCCTTTTATGCTTAAGTGACATGGTAAAAGGTAAATATAGTATATTATGGGAGGTTAGTTGGTTCTTGAGTTTATATTATTATCTACACATGTAGAGGTTGATTCAGGATTTTAAGTTTATAAGTTCTGGATTTTAGCTCTCTTAAGTTACTGAGTTCTAAATTAATAGTTTGTATGTATCAAATAGGAGTAGTTTTTAAGACAAATACAAGGTTCGGACAAAAGCTACTAGCTAGGTTCTGTCGAATTCGCACCTTCTACTCTACCTTCGCCTTTGCACACATGTTTCAAGAATCATACTTTTAAGTATGATTTGGCTAATGTGTTACATGATACAAGTATTGCAAACATAAACATACCTTTTTATAAGGTTTGGCATTCATTTTTCATGAGTATGGATAACTATATTTAATTGGTTCGCTCGATCAAAGTTAAGGCATCGGGTATTGTGTCACGTCTCACCCCGAATTTGGGGTGTGACGAAACAATACACAAGGAGCAATAGAAAAGTAGGAACGAGGTTGTCCCTTTTTTCCAAAGCTTATAATGTAATGTATTTGAAATGAACTTTTAGCACTAAGAATTATCAGCATTGCATATGTAAAGTCAATTGCTTCTTATTGTGAGTTGAATGTAACCTGAACTCTCTTTTCATTAGTTATTACTACGGAAAGCTACTTATGCCAAGGTAAATTTCATATATGGTCATATAACTATCACTTTTTCTTTTCACAACACAAAAATCACTTAACTTTGAGGATACTAACACAAAAATCACACGACCTGAAAATACTAACTTTCCGGTGGATAACTCTTTTTTTTTCTCTTGTTGCACATAATTTTCGATTAGAAATCTAATGAAAAATGATCATCAGCAGATCCTATTTAGTGTGATGTGAGAGGTTGGTTATGGTAGGTTTGAAGAGGGGTAGAGGTAGGCTGAAGATAGTATTAGGAAGAGCTGATTAGACTGGACATGTACATGACCTGTAGTTTATCAAGGACATGACTCTAGATAGGAGGATATGGAGGTTGAGGATCATGGTAGAATGTTTGTAGATAATTGAGTGCTATCGAGTTTCTTTTATCAATATTATTATTGTTGCTCTCTTACAATATTATTCCTCAATCTTATTATTCCCCAAGGCCTAGCTCAAGTGGCAAAAGGTGGAAGATTTGTGGCTTAGGTCACAGGTTCAAGCCCCACACCATGCAAAGCGAAGCCCGGTATTTAAGTGGAGAAGGGTAGAGGGGCGGGCCCATTATCCACCGAGTTTAGAAGGCTGTGATTGGTCCAAAGGGCGGGTCACAGACGGATTTCTCGGTTATCAAAAAAAAAAAAAAAAAAAAAAATATTTGTTGTTTCTACTTTTCTTTTCTTCATTATTTTCTACATGGCTTCTTCACTACTGTATTTCCTTTTCTTAGTGACTTTGATATGCTTTACTTTAGCCAAAAGTCTATCAGAAACAACCTCTCTATTACCTTCACAAGGTAGATGTCACGTTGCGTACACATCACATTCCAGACTTGGAAACAACCTTTCTACTACCTTCACAAGGTAGGGGTAAGGTTGCATATACATCACCCTCTCCAGACCACAATGTGGAATTACACTGAGTATGTTGTTGTATATGCGATAAAGATCAACATTGCACCTTAATTAGCAGTTATAATGGTTTTAAGATTCATAACAAATTGATAGATTACATACAGTTTATCATTTGCTAGTTATTCTATTCACAATCATAGAAACATCCCAACAAATTTTGGCTATAGATATTAAGACTCTTCTCATTTTTCAGCTTCATTTGCAGACTTCATCACGTTGGCGACATAGAGCCCAATGCCAAGAACTGAAAGAGCAACAAGAGTCATTTTCATCACTTTCCTTGTCTTCTTCATGTTTGCAGCCAAACAACTCACATTTCCGATTGTTTCATCATCTGTCGATTCACTGTAAGAACTACTACTTGAACTGCTTTTAGCTTCTGTTTGCTCACTGTTTTTAGGACTATTGGTCTTTGGTTCTTCTTTAGAAGAGGTATCAGTACCAGCATTGTCCTGTTTACTAAATTCGTCTCGTAAAGTTGTAGTCTGGCTATTAGCTGCAGGGGTATTTTCAGCTAATGTAGCTGTCAATTTGTTATCCTTTTTCACTGGTGAAGTTATCATTTTTGGCTGTTTAACATGAAGAATTCCGTTTTCTAACTTCGCGCTGATTTTGCTTCTGTCACAGTTTACTGCAACAGGAAATTCCTTCTGAAATCTCCGCCACTTGTTCGACATCCCAACTGGCCTTTGTCCACTGATCTTCAGAATTCCTGTTTTGTTCAGTTCAACCCTCAGCTCTTCCTTCTTGAAACCTGTGGAATTTCAATGATACAAGACAATGTTTAAGGTTAACTAACAAAACAATGAAATGAATAGTACATGACTAGAGTTGTACGGCTTTAAAACACGTCACTAGAGTCTAAATGAATGCTTTTTCCTTACATATCAAACATCTCTTCCGTGTTATGACTTATGTCGATATGAGATTTTCCTAGGATGTCACATACTAATAGAGGGTGTATGTGACATCGATAGAAGGACTGACATACTTCTAAGATGACAAGCAAGTTGTACTATGTGTCCTCACTCCGTGTCGATATAAACTATTTAATGACTTAAGAGAAAAGGAGAGACCTTGAAGAGTAAGGTGAAGAGTGTCAAAATGTTCTTCTTGAACGAGTTT